CTCATTTCAGCCAGAGGCCGATTTACTTAGAATGACTGCATTTCTGGTTAGGTTGACTCCTTTGCTCAGACAAGGTTACTTGCAGTTTCATATCACCTATTCACATGGACCCAGATTTACAAACCTTTAGGAAAGCAAACTTACCCCTCAGAATTTGTGTCCTCTATTCAGACCTCATCTTCCGGTCATCCACTAGGGGAAAAAGTAACATAAAATAAAGTCTTAAGTCAAGAAGTAAAGCAGCTGAATTTAGTGATAGTTTACATATTTGGGTTAGTAGATCAACTATTTCATGTCTGAGTTTCCGAAGAACTCTTGGGTGTATGCCATCAGGACCTGGAGACATATCAGTTTTTCTTTTCCCCAGTAGGCTACAACTTAATCTCTGGTCACCTCAATTTGGCTCAGTCCTTCAGACTCCGTTCCTGAAAATAGGGGCTGTGGTGTCGGTATATGCCCCACGCTTTCCACAAGGAGCACAGAAGCAAAAAAAAATTCATTGAGCTTCTCTGCCTTCCCCTTCCTTTAGAAACCCCTTTATTCCTTTGTCATCCAAAGGCCCCACTGCTTCTGTTTATTTAAAGTTCTTCTTTAAACAGTGGGGAATTGTAAAAAGCAATGGTGCTGCAAAAAAAGTGTTTCATAAAGCAGTTGCTAATAGAATAGAAGAAATCTGCCAGCCTTCCACAAGAGAGCAGCATAAGACTGTTTCTTGAAAAGGAAACTGCAGTGAGACATGTATCACACCAGAAATGCTTGGGCATATATTCAATGAGGAAGTGAGGCCAGGGTCTTAGGATGTGGGAGACCTGCCTGTTAGCAAGACCAGTCCTTGGAAGTCTCTGGCTGTTGGGAATGGAATGCTGGACCAGGTTTCTGGTCCTGGAGCTCTTATGTTCTTTGTTCTGGTTATAATGCTTCTTAGGCATATTCTTAAGCTCTTTATATAGATGTGTGTTGGAGAGTGAGGGAGGGAATTTTCGGAACCAACAATTAATCTTTTTTCATATATACCTGGCCGAAATTTGCAATTCCCATCCTAGGGAAACCTATGAATAGATTCATTTTTGCCCACCTGCTCCTCCCAACTGCTGACACTTTTATATGGCCTTACTCTTCAGACGCCATTCTAGCAGTTTTGTAACCCACCAATCCATTTTTCTTAGTTGCAAGTTATACAGACTTCTCTATTCCAGTGGACAGTAACTCTATTCCAGTTACTGTCTATCATTATACTACATTTATATCCCATCGTTCCTTCAGGGAACTCAAACCAGCATGCAGGGTCTTTCCTTCCCCATTTTATCCTCAGAACAACCCTATGAATTAGATTAGGCTGAGAGAGGGTGACTGGCCTAAGGTCACCCAGCAAGTGTCTGTGGCACAGTAGGTACTTGAACCCAGGTCCCCTAGAATCAACCCTGACACACTCTAACTGCTATACCATGCTGGCTCTCTAAGTTGTAAAGTTTAAGAAATGCATACAGAAATAATCATGTGGCTGAGCATCGCACCACCACTTGCTTTTCTCCACCCATCGTCTTTCTTCTTCCTTCTCTTTTCTTTCTCGCCAGCAACTCTTGTTTTTCTTCTGCTTTGCCTATTTGCTGCTCAACCATGTGCTCCCTCTCTTCTCTCACCTTTTTGACCTATATGCAAGCCCTGCACAAAAACTAGTGCTCTGTTGTGTGCTGTCGGAGACTTTGGGGGTGAAAGACTCAAACACTTCCAGAACTGTACTCAAACATTTCCCAAGCCATCCTTTGCTCTGTCTCTCTTGTAGGTCTGGTGATGATCGGTGTAATTGTTGGTGCAAGGAAGGTCGGGATTAACCCAGACAACGTTGCCACCCCCATCGCAGCAAGCCTTGGAGACCTGATCACCCTTTCCTTGCTCGCTGGAATCAGCAGCACTCTCTTCAAATACATCGGTACGTTAAGAAGAGCAGCCTAGCCAGTTGAAAGAGAGAGCAGCAGTGCTGTGAAGATGGTTGAACACAATTGAATCCCAGTTAATAAAGAACACCGTAGTGGACAACCGGGCAGAAAGGGAGAGGATCTCTGGAGCTCCCATACTAGTGAGACGGGACTCAGCCTAAGGAAACCAGTCAGAGGAAGGGAGGTTAAGTAGGCTCCTGTATAGCTGTGCAGGAAAAGGAGTTTGGCAGGTTTGCCTTATCGTATTGCTGCAGAGGTGAGAAAAGCTGCACCTGCCAAAATTCCCTCTTCTATAAGATACCATTAGAACTACCTTTTCTCTCCTATACATCTGGGCTTCCTGATTCTATAGTGGGATCTTTGTGTTTGAATAGACTCTGCTCCTTTGCCTTTGTAAAAAACCCTCCAAAACATGGAGTTAGTCACCATCACAGCCGGCCCCTTTGCTGACCAGCCATGCTCATTAGAAAGTTTACATCTTAGTTATCGTGAAGGTGTAGGTCTAATCTGATGTATGGTTTCATTGAAAATTGCCAAGAAAATTACTCCATGGCTGACCTAGAGGGGATCCTAAGGAAAAGCAGCTGTGAGAGTTTGGATTGTGTTTTGCTTTAACTCTGTTGTGGATAGTTTGGGGGGGGGGGATTTCTAGCAAAAACTGATCAAGCTGCAGCTGAAAACTGAAAGCAGGCTGCACGGACTAGTTAGTGGTTTTGGCCTTCCTGTTACTTGTTTCACAGGCCAGCAAATGTACTGGCAGAGGCTTAATAATACTGTCCAGTTCAGATCTCTTGCCTTTTAGAAATCAGTGTGAGGAGCGAAGGGGTATACTGGGCAAATTTCAGAAGGGTTATGCTAACAAATGTGTTTTGTAGTGAGCTGTGTATTCTTGGTCTCAGTAGAGAGACCAAGTTTGATAGTGTTGGATCAGCATTTGCATTCCGGCTAGGCAGCTTCTTGCTGAAGCCTCCGTTGGAAACTTCTTGGCTGAAACTGATCTTTAAGTCTATCGAACATCCAGAGAGGCTGAAATAGTCAAAGGTGATCCTTTGTGTTTAATAATTGAGCACATGAAGGAATGTCCATAGGCATAGCTCTTCTTGCTCTAGCCACGACTGGGATGTAGGGTTGCCATTCCCTCCGGTCGGGGCGGGGTTTCCCCCAATTTCGGGGGCTCCAGTCCGCCGGCAGCTAGCTGGCAAGAGGGGGAAGCCCCACCCCCTTAACAGTCCCCTCCCAAAAACTAGAGTGTCAACCCTCCCCCCATGTTGGCAACGTGATGATGTCACTTCCGGGAGCCCCCCACCAGATCGGAGGTAGGACCTGCAGCCCTAAAAGGTAAAGGTAAAGGTTCCCTTGCTCGAAAGCCAGTCAAATCCGACTCTAGGGTTGCGGTGCTCATCTCCGTTTCCAAGCCGAAAAGCCAGCACTGTCCGAAGATGTTTCCGTGGTCATGTGGCCGGCATGACTAAACACCAAGGTGCACGGAGCGCTGTTACCTTCCCACCGAAGTGGTACCTGTTTATCTACTCGCAATTTCTTGCTTTTGAACTGCTAGATTGGCAGGAGCTGGAACTAGAGATGCGAGTTCACTCCATCATGCCTGCAGTTCAGCGTCTTAACCACTTGAGCCACATAGCCCTACTGTGATATAAAAAGCAGCTTCTGATGAAATTTCATCTGGTCCCCATTCCCATTCAGAGATGCTTGGCAAGTATATATTCTGGCCTCTCTTGGAGTTGAGACCCTATTTGTGTTTCTTGCAGTCGAACATTTATTTCCACCCTTTCCTACCTGCCAGGCAGATAACAATGTGCTCGGTGCTTCCTTTACTGCTACTGCATCAGGCAGCCAACTTCCTGCCTTGTGTCCTGTTTTGTTTTTTGTTTTTTTAAAAAAATCTATCTTGCCTTTATTAGAGGAGGCTACATTTTTTTTTCCTGGGTAAAAATCTGCTGAGATTAATACAACACTGTGATTAAAGGCGTCTTCATTTTTCATACTTGTAGCCTGAGGCTTTGACAGCATCTTTTTTGGAAAATAAAACGCACATTTCAGGGATGCTTCATCTGCCCCTTTACCTGCAAGATGTGTTGCAACTGGCCCAGCTCTGGACCAGTTACAAAGAGCAGATGGAGAGCCCTTGAAGAAAGAAACATTAGCATATCAAAAGGCCTGGCACCCTCCCCATTGCCCGAAGATGTTTCTGAGGCTTCCTTCCTTCTGCTTCTGAGTCATGCTTATTTTCTCTCAGTGCAGCATTCTCTCTTCCCCCTTTTTCTAAAAGTTCCCTGGACTTCTAAAGGTTGTTCCGAGGTTATATTTCAGAAAAAAGGAGTTGATCCATGAGATTATTCTAATTCATGCAGCCCAGAAGTCTAGAGGCTTTATATCAAAATGGTAGCAATTATTCTCGATCAGAAGATTCTAGTTAGGGTTGGCAGCCTCCAGGTGGGGCCTGGGGACCTCCCGCTTTTACAACTGATCTCCTGCTGACAGAGATCAGCTCCCCTGGAGAGAATGGCAGCTTTGGAGGGTGGACTCTATGGCACTCTACCATGCTGAGGCCCCTCCCCCCCCAAACCCCACCCTCTCCTGGCTCCACCCCCAAAGTCTCCAGGTATTTTCCAACCCTGGCCTGGCAACCCTAATTCTAGTCCATTCTCCTGTTTTTGATGAGACAATCCAGTGGCCTCAAGAACAGTCCTGGATATTGCACATGAAGGCTGGTGTTAGACTATAGGAGACAAAAAAAAGTGAAGAAATTTAACAATCAAATATACTACAAACACAGAATTTAATCTTGTGATATATAGACTCATTTTCCATACTGTGCATGATACAACCACGTTGATGAAATCTTAAAGGAAGGCTGGTCAACTTACTTCTTCGTTTCATATACAGTCTTCTTAACTGTAATACCTGCTCTCTCTCGAAGGGAGGAGGACACTCTGATATGCTTGAGTTCCTCTTCCCACAATTCCTGGAGGCAGGAAATTAATTGCACTTTCCATCTCTGGGGGAAGGAGGAGCCCATCCTCAGTCTTTTTCCTGCCTCCACCTGAGAGAGCAGTGGATTTAGGGAGCTCCTTTGGTTGCACTTTGTTTTTCCCTTTCGACATGTGTGCCTTTCCTTTTGTTTTGTTGTTGTTGTTTTTTTAAAAAACTTTGTTGGTTCTTCTGGCCTCGTCTTCCTGAGGCTGTTTGCCTTTTGACTGCGGCTTCAATCACGGAGATGTCTGCTGCTGAGGTCTCCAACCATGGGACCTCCTCCGGGGGAAAGTTGGGGGAGGTGATCTCCAGCAGCAGAGTAGATGGTCTTGTGGCTAGCTTAGCATCAGGGGTGGCTCTTCCAAAGAGGGAGAGGGCACCTTTAAAGATCCCAATTATTGAAAAAGTGACTCAGCTCTCTGTAGTCCTTGAGGCCATTGCCTTCTCCATTAAAGCTTCTGCTGCCACTTCTCTGATGGCAAGAGCCTCATGCATGTGGCTTCATAATTTGACCCAAGTTACATGCACAATCTGGAGAGGGCAGCAGCCTTCATGTCTGATGCTAGTTCTCAGCAAGGGCCATGGCTTCTATAGCGGTAGCCAGAAGACATCTCTGGCTCAAGTCTTGGAATGTGGACTCCCTTTCTAAGCCTCTTGTGGCCTCTTGGCCTTTCCTGGCCAAGCAAGCTATTTGGAGATAGCCTAGAGGACACCTTAATTGAGACCAAGGGCAAGAAGAAGGTCATTACAGAACACTTCCATGATTGAGATCAAACTCCAAGTGACAGTCGTGGACCAAATCCAAGCCTAACTTCAGAGGCACAAATCAACACTACAGTTCAGTCAAAGCAGCAGCCTGCAGTAAGGGAGGAAAACAACGGCAACAAAAGTGACACCAGGCTAGCCCAAGTGAGGGGACAGCTTAAAAATTCCATCATGCCTGGAATTTATCAGCCACTGATGTGTAAAAGAAACCATAACCCATGGCTATTCAAGAGAATTTGTCACCCCACCTCACAACAGATTCCTGAGCTTACCAGTCTCTCACTGCCCCATCAAGAGACAGTGTACACAGGATGCCATCAGACAACTGCTGGAGATTGCCACCATTGAACCTGTGCCATCATCACAAAGGTTTTTAGGCATCTATTCTATTTTTTTCATAGTTCCCAGAAAGAACGGGGACTGGAGGGCTATCCTCAACCTCAGATTCCTAAACACGTTTGTGAGGTCCAGAAAGTTCAAAATGGAGACCCTGAAGACCATTGTTGAAGCCCTGCAGTCAGAGGACTTCATGGCCTCCATCAATCTGACCAAGGCATATCTTCATTTGTCCATATCTCCCTGGGACAGTATCTGAGATTCACCTTCAGTCAAAAACACTTCCAGTTCAGGGCCATGCCATTTGGGTTGGCATCAGCACCCCAGGTATTCACAAAACTGATAATCTCACTTGTTGCAAGCCTGCATCTCAAAGGAATCCATATTAACCCCCACCTTGACCTCCTTATAATGTCACCTTCACAAGAGCAGGCACTCAGAGCCATGGCAGTTCACTATCCAGTGCCTCTACAGTCACAGCTTTCTAATCAGCCTCCAGAAGAGCCAACTAACATGTGCCCAAGTCATCACACATTTGGGGTCAGCAATAGATTCAATCCAGAAAAAAAAGTGTTTCTTCCACTAGACAGAGCAGAGAAGATCGTTCAGATCATAAAACAGGTTCGCTCTGTGATCCTAGTGCATATGTTAGGTTACATGACTGCAGGTCTCAAGACAGTCCCTTGGGACCGAGCACACTCTCGAGTACTTCAGTGGATGCTGTTGCCATATCAAAGGCTCATAGCCCTTCAAAAGCGCATCAGAGTCAGCATCAGTCAGCATCTCAGGAAAGACCTCCTTTGGTGGGCAACCAAGAAACACTTGCTTGAAGGCAAACCCAAGTGACCACAGACCTAGAGATCACAACAGACACCAGCCTAATGGGCTGGAGAGCCCACTGGACACTGAGCCATGTGCAGGGGACCTGGTCCCATCAAGAAGCTTCCCTCAGCATCAATCATTCGGAACTGCATGCAATTCATTTGGCACTTCTCCACTTCCAAGACCATCTATCTGAATTGAATGTATGTATACGGACAGACAGCACCACTGCCAAGGTGCACGTGAACTACCAGGGAGGCATCAAAGCCAAGAAGCTACAGCAAAAGTCAACTATCCTCATGTCCTGGGCAGAAGAACACCTGGCCTCTCTCAGAGCAGAACACATCAGTGGCATAGCAAATGTCCAAGCAGATTGGCTCAGCCGCACCAGGCTGGAGCAGGGGGAGTGGTCCCTCAGCTAGGAAACATCCCAGTCCCTGGTTATATATCTCGGCCTACCATGCGTAGATCTCTTTGCCTTTCCGACGGATACCAGGACACTCAGATTGTTCTTGAGACACCAGTGTCAACAAGTAGAACAAGTGGGTGCCCTTGACCAACAGGCCTTCTTTATGACTCCCCCCCCCCACCTTTGATTCCAAAGGTTCTGAACAAAATGAAACAGGAGAAGGCAGAGTTGATTTGCTTGGCCCCATTCAGGCCCAGGAGACCTTGGTTTTCTTGCCTGCCAAAATAATCAGTTCAACCTCCATGGGAACTTCCACTGTAGCCCAGTATGCTAACCCAGGGTCCTATCTGTCATCCAGACACAGCTTGGCTTTGTCTGACAGGATGGAGATTGAGCGGCAAGTGCTGAACGGTTCTTGGAAGGCTTTTGTCAGATGGTGCAAAAGGAAACACCTGCAACCAGACACCCTGGATCTCCCTCAGGTATTGTCTTTCCTACAGGATGGAGTCCCGCAGGGTCTAAGAGCAAGCACTCTCCATCACCACATAGCTGCTTTGAGCACTGTACTTTCATCAGTTAGTGGTGTACCAATTTCGAGGCACCGAGCAGTGAAGAGATTTCTGAAGGGAGTTACTTTGTCTCAGCACCCTACAGTGCGCTGGTTTCCCTCTTGGAGACCTCATATCATTCTTCAGGTTCTAACCAGTCCTCACAGCTCACAGGAGATATATTTGCTGTCCTTCTGCCCAAAGCCATCTTATCCTAGGGAGAAGAATTGGCACTCGCTTGACCTTCATTGTTCTTTCACTGTTCTAACAGTTATCTTTACCTGTACAGTTCATTTCATAGAGTTCTGTTAAGCCTTGTTGTCTGTCTGTCTGTTTGGCACACATTGTGGACTGCTATCAGCTGTGGAAGTCTCTGGTCCAAACTGAGTCTCGGCTTCTCCTCCCCCTGGAGATGGAAATTGCAATCAATTTCCTGCCTCCAGGGATTGTGGGAAGAAGAACCCAAGCGTATCAGAGCATCCTCCTCGCCCTTGAGAAGAAGTAACCTTTACGGTAAGTCCAGTGTTCCATTCTAATGACATGATGGCATGTTCACAGGTGTAATTTATAGTGCAGTTCTTATCCTAAGTCCACTGAAGTCATTTGGCCTGGATGGGTATATTTCTGTTTAGGATTATGCCATTAGTTTCCTATAAGCAATGTTTTCCCACTTACTCCCTGAAAGGGTGTTAAGCTTCTTGGAGAGTGGATTGTGATTACAAATAACATTTCTACAGAGGTATCATGCTAAACCAGTATAAACTGTGGGGTGGCTCAAGTTTGTATTAGACTTTCCTCACATGATCTGAATCAACACAACTATATAACAAATCGATTTGAGAGTTGGTGAAAGAGGAGAGGTGGGAGGAGGTCAGCTCATTTTGCTTCAGTTATCACTAGAGCTGAAAAGTCAGACCTAGTCCTGGTAAATATACATTTCTCTTGAAAACTCTTTTGTTTATATCAGATGTGATGACAAAACATGTATCTGTGGAAATACTGTAATAAGGTCAGAAACAGCTGTACAACAGGCTCCTCCTCTCTTTGGATGAAACTTGAGTCTTATAGGAAATGTATAAAGGCTGGTGTGGTGTAGGAGTTAGTGTCTGACTACATTCTGGGAAACCCAGCTTTGAATTCCCACTCTGCCATGGAAACTCACTGGGTGTGGCAGGCTAGGCCGAGAGAATGTGATTGGTCCCTGCTCACCCAGTAAGCTCCCATAGCAGAAAAGGGATTCAAACCTCATCTTCCTCACAGGATTGTTGTCATATGGATAAAATGAAGGAGGGGAGAATGATATTATAAGCTACTTTGGGTCCCAATTTGGGAGAGAAGCAAAGTATAAATTGCTTAAATAAATAAATGTGCATTCTTCTGGTTGTGGAGCTGTTATACCAGCAACGTAGGAAGCAGTATTACCAGGATAAAATTGTACAGTTTCTTTCACAAGAATACTTATGTGAGCCATTTGCAGTCATTCGGACTGTGAAGGGCACCCGTTTGACGTAGCTCATGGATCTCAAGAGCACTAAATCAGTGTATTAAATATCCTGGGGAAATTATTTCATCCATAAAAGGAATTATAATGCTCCCCAGTTATGGAATAGGGGGAATACATCCTAAATGAGGAAAAGTTTCCTAAATGAGGAGGAAAGTTTCCTAAATTTGTTCACATGCAAACCCTGGGGTGACTCTTTTTTCAGCAATGATGCTTAGCTAGCACTAATTTGTAACAGTCACGAAGTTGATGAGGGCTCTAGGTTCAGTTGTAGTCAGCCTAATTGCTGTTTTCTCCCTGCTTCCCACTTGTTTACTTTATTGCACACCTGTCTCTCCCCCCCTTCTTTAAAATATATAGCTATATGCTTTTCCCTTGATGCCATCTCCTTGGCTCCTTTTAGTGTGTATCAATTTTCCTCTCCACAAATTAATAAGATTTTTAAGATGCTGGATCCTTCCCTATGACAAAATTATGCCTTGGAAGCAGTAATGAGCTTGTTATCATCTCCAGAGAGTGTGCTATGTACAGTTAGAGTTTCCTAATTTTCTATCTTTGGGAAATTCTGCTGTAGCCCACTCTGTTTTCGTCTGTATAGTATTGGAACTCATTTTTCAGGTTTAATGGCAAAGTTGATTAGTATATGTGGGGTGATGTTTATATATAGCTATGGAATGATAAAACACACGGACCCTAAGCCAACTAAAGTTAGTCCTGCTTCAAACTCATCAACAGCAATGGAACTTGAGTTACTGATAATTCAGTAACCCAGACACCATAAACTTTCTCTGGTTCAGGGCTACAGTATTTCTTGCATGCTTCTCTCCTGCCTGATACAGCAGTGGATGTTCTTATTGATGTTGGAATTTAACTATCCCCTTTCTCGTAATCAGTAGCTGTTCCATGTCAGCCACTGTTGAGTATAGATCCCGGGGGGGGGGGGGTTGTTCTGAGAGCAGGCAACTCTGGGTAGCCATTCTTTTGCTCAGGGAAACCTGAACAGAACTGAAGATTCACACTCTAACCCGAAGCCTCTTTTTTTCCTGGCAGATGTGAGTTACCTTTCACCCTTGATCTGCGCTGTCTTCATTGTAATGATTCCTCTGTGGGTCGCTATCGCCAAGCAGAGTCCTCCCATTGCTGAAGTCTTGAAGTCAGGATGGCAGCCAGTCATTGTTGCAATGACCATCAGCAGGTAGGTCATTAGATAAGGAAAGAGACATCTTGGAATTTTAGGGGCTGATGTCAGTCATTCCTCTCACTAACTTTGGGGAAATCGCTTCAACCTCCTTTGTCAGTTTTCTGGTTGTGCCAAGGATCGTTTCTGGTTGTGCCAAGGATTGTATTTGAGGTATATGGTGATGAAATCTCCTCTGCACCCACGCACAGGATTGGTTCACTCACACATGTTTGATGCAGCACCTAGATCTTCTAAATATCACAGGTAGTAGCCATCAGAAGATCACTCACTATAGATGCAACTTGTACATCTCTTTTTGTCACACTGTGCTTTCTAATAGAGACCCTTTATACATTCATTTGTGAATTATTTAAATAACAAATCAAGTGATGTTTATGCACACATGAACGAATCCTCTGTCTTCTGCTGTCCTGATGTCTGTACTTTGTAACGAAGAAATTGGGCATAGCAGCATAATTGGCCACCGGACTTCTTTGCAAAGCCCTGTGTCAGTGGAGATTACTCAGTAGATTTCTCACTGGATTAGAGATGGCTTTGGTTATTTGTTTTTAAGAATCCATAAATTCTTTCGATAGTCAAATAATATTTATTTAAAGCATTTCTATGCCTCCTTTTCACCCAAACTCATGCATAATAGAAGAAGAAGAGACTGGATTTATACCCTACCCTTCACTACCCAAAGGAGTCTCAGAGCGGTTTACAATCTTTCCCTTTCCCTTCCCCTCCCCACAACAGACACCCTGTGAGGTAGATGGGACTGAGCGAGTTCTCTCGAGAACTGCCCTTGAGAGAACAGCTCTGAAAGAACTTAAGACTGACCCATGGTCACACCAGCAGGTGCAAATGGAGGAGTGGGGAATCAAACCTGGTCCTCCCAGATTAGAGTCTGCGCTTCTAACCACTACACCAAACTGGCTTTCCACTCATCATTTCTTTCTGGATATATGCATTCATTACTTAGGAATTTATACCTTGCTTTTCTCCACAATGGGGACCCAAAGCAGTTTACAACAAGATTCTCCCGTCCTCCATTTTATCCTCACAATAAAAACCCTGTGAGGTAGATGAGGCTGAGAGAAAGTGACCGGCCTAAAGTTACCCACCAAGCTCCTATGGCAGAGTAGGGATTTGAACCTGGGTCCCCCATATCCTAATCTGACAGTCTAGCCACTACACATACTGGCTCTTCTGATGGTTCCTGATGGCTACTCCCTGTGACAGCTCGAAGATTTTCCTGTCCTCTGATATCTTTATTTAGGAATTGCAGAGCAAATGAGAACACACATCAGTGTTTCTAAGATGAACTATTCTAGAATCAGTGTTTTTCACTGAATGATAAGCTTTTGTAGTATTGGTTCCTTTTCATATTCAGTACACAAACAAGCACCAGTCACAAACTTGGTATTATTTACCATATATATATACAGTTGTGATTATACTGGGGGATGCAGAAGTAGAGGTGAGAGAAGTGTAGCCACCTAAAAGGGCAAGATCAGACTTCAAGTGCATACTGGGAATGCTTTTTCTGCTCTGTCTGGTTTGGGACATAATCCCAAGGTTGCTTCAGTGCTGAGGAAGTTGTCCACACATGCCATGGGTGACAGAATGTTAATATGGGTTTCACTTGTCATTTTCAGTTCTTGTTTCTCTGTGGGGCTGTTGGCAAAATCTTGGCTGACTTGGGAAGACACGGGGAGATTTATAGAGTCAGGAGCTCCACTTAGAATACTGCTGATATTGGTTTTGGTCATTTAATCCGCCCCTGTGCCTGACGACTAATAGATTTGTCTTGTAACTTTATATTGTAGCATTGGGGGGCTCATCTTGAACAAAACGGTGGCCAAGCCAAACTTCGAAGGCATGGCTGTTTTCACTCCAGTAATCAATGGTAAGTCGGTTCTTCTTTTGACAAGCATCTTAGTAGAGGGGTGTGGAAGTTGGGGCCATGAGGTTGTAAATATGGCCCTCTTTTCACCGTCATGTTTATGGGAGTAGAATCCTGGTGTTAAGGCCAACAAGCAAAAGAAACTCTGATTTTCTTATAAGGTATCTACCCATATAAAATATCTACCCAACTCTGAATCTGAGAAAACAGGAATATGTGACAGTTTGAATCCCAGTTCATCTGCACCCAAGGCACTGCTTTCCAGAATAAGATTAAATTATCCGAGAGCTGGAAATACGAGCATCTATTCACCGTGTCACTGCAGTATAGGAATTTTAAAGTAAGCCACTGTGCACCATGAAATCTGAAGATTAAATAAATTTGGTTTTAAAGAAAATACCTTGATCATTCATGAAGGGCCCAGGCCATTTGAAGCTCAGTGGCAGCACTCTCACAAAGAGGATTCCACCAGGGCACAACAGAAGCTGGTTTTCTTCCTGCCGCTCCTTCCACCTGTGTGTGTGTGTGTGTGTGCGCGCACAGGCAGCACAAAGAGTCACTTCAGGGAACTGGAGGCCCATGCCTGCCCGCCATACCTCCCTCTTGCCTTCCTTCCTTAACGTCATACGAGTTAGTCATGCTCTCAAGACTGTGGAGGACTTCTACAGGCCTCAGGGAAAAGATCCTCTCCCCCCCCCCCCATCGCCACATCTGTCAGGCAGGCCACAGCCATACAGGTGGGTAGCTGTGTTGGTTTGAAGCAACAGACCAAAGTGCACACGAACGCTTATACCCAGAATTAAAATGTGTTGGTCTTAAAGGTGCCCTACTGGACTCAAACTTTGTACTGTATTCAGCTGGGGGAAAAAACCCCCCCCCCCCCCCCCCGTCTTTAATGGAGAGAGAGGGATACATGAGGGAAAGAACACATCCATCTGTAATGGGGGGGAAGCCTTTTTAGGTATTCATAGTCATTCGGTGGGAAGGTAACAGCGTTCCGTGCGCCTTGGTGTTTAGTCATGCCGGCCACATGACCACGGAAACGTCTTCGGACAGCGCTGGCTCTTCGGCTTTGAAACGGAGATGAGCACCGCAACCCTAGAGTCGGATTCGACTAGCTTTCGAGCAAGGGAACCTTTACCTTTACTTTAGTCATTCACTTAACTCTTTGCTTAACTGGGGAATCAAGCCAGTTTCTACTGCTGCAGGCAGGGCTATTTTTGGCCAGGAACGCACAGGAACGGAGTTCCGGCTGGCTCCCAAGTTGGCCACACCCAGCAGGAACTCATTAGCATAATAAGCCACACCCAACAGCAGAAACTCATTAGGATTGGCTACATTAGGGGTGTGTGGCCTAACATGCAAAGGAGTTCCTGCTACAAAAAAGCCCTGGGTTTGGACAACAAAGAAGGTAAACAGAATAAGAAGCAAAAGGTGGGTGTGGCTGGATGAGCACACTTCTGGTAACATGGGTGTGTGGCCTAATATGCCAATAAGCTGTGCTGTCAGGGGTGTGGCCTATTATGCTAATGAGTTCCTCCTGGGCTTTTTCTACAAAAAAAGCCCTGGCTGCAGGAGAATACTTGCTATCATTTCAAATCTAGAAAAGGGTTAAAAGGGATTTGTCCATTCCTAGTGAGGCTTTTAGCTGTTGCCGAAACCCTGAAATTATAAGCAGTGTGCTGGGAGAATGTATGGAAGCAAAATGAGATCGGTGGATTTCTTGCCATTCTCCCATGCTTGTACCACCCCCTGGTCGTCGTCGTCGTCGTCGTCCCCCTACCCCAGCAGCCCTGCATGATCTTGAGCATCACTAATTGGCATGATAGTGTGAGATGGGGTTATAGTAGGTATACATGGGCCTTCCACACTGCAGGTGCTTTTCATGCTCCCTGCATGTGCCCCGATGCTGGGAAGGAAGAAACGGGGCTGTCCTTTTGCCGTCCTCTGTGTACAGCTGCTTGCTGTTATGCTCAGTCTTGTTTGGGCACTTGGCAGTCGCATACAAAAACCACACTGCATTTTCTTTTTAATTATATATTTCAGCCATGTGGACAGGAATTTCAAAGTACTCTTTGTTACTGGCAAACCTGTATTTTCCATTTGGTTCTTCTAAACTGTAAAGTCTGGCAGCAATGGCTGTTGCCATATGCTTCATAAAAATATACTCTCATTTCAGGTCATATTTTCTTATGAAGTTCCTATACTGCCAGATCAGCTCATTAGCATGAAACCAGAAATGATCTGGGTGGGTAGTCTAAATAGATGATGCTGAAAAGTTTTATATAGCATGTTCCTCTACGGTCCATGCCTACCCGGCAATTCTCCTAGGGGTTTTTTTGGTGTTCTTTTTTTTAATTAAGAACATAAGAGAAGCCATATTGGATCAGAGCAGTGGCCCATCCAATCCAACAATCTGTGTCAAACAGTGGTCAAAACCCAGGTGCCATCAGGAGGTCCACTAGCAGGGCCAGAACTCCAGAAGCCCTCCCACTGTGGTCCCCCAAGCACCAAGAATACAGAACATCACTGCTCCAGACAGAGTTTTTCCATCTATACCTTGTGGCTAATAGCCACTGATGGACCTCTGCTCAATATGTTTATCCAATCCTCCCTTGAAGCTGTCTATGCTTATAGCTGCCACCACTTTCTGCAGCAGTGAATTCCACATGTTAATTACTCTTTGAGTGAAGAAGTGCTTGCTTTTATCTGTTCTAAACTTATTGCTCATTAATTTCATTGAGTGCCCATGAGTTCTTGTATTGTTAGAAAGGGAGAAGAGTACTTCTTCCTCTACCTTCTCTATCCCATGCATAATTTTGTTAACCTCTATCACGTCACACCTCAGTCATCATTTTTCCAAGCTAAGGAGCCCTAACCTTTTTAACCTGTCTTCATACGGGAGGTATTTCATCCCTTTAATCATTTTAGTTGCCCTTTTCTGCACTTTTTTTCCAATGCTATAATATCTTTTTTGAGGTACGGTGAACAGAACCGTACACAATATTCCAAATGAGACCACACCACCGATTTATACAGGGGCATTAAGATACTGGCTGATTTGTTTTCAGTCCCCTTCCTAATAATCCCCAGCATAGCATTTGCTTTTTTATTGTAGTTAGACACTGAGCTGGCATTTTCAAGCAGAGTTAAGAATCTACCATGACTCCAAGACCTCTCTCCTGGTCAGTTACTGCCAGTTTGGACCCTATCAACATATATTTATAGTTAGGATTTTTGGCTAAAGGCTCCAATGTGCATTACTTTGTATTTGCCCACACTGAACCTCTCATATTGATGCCCACTCACCCAGCCTCGACAGAGCTCTCTGGAGCATCTCACAGTCCTCCCCGGTTCTCACTGCCCTGAACAACTTAGTGTCATCCACAGACTTAGCTTCACTGCTTACTCCCAACCCCAAGTAATTAATGAGCAAGTTAAAAAGCACTGGACCTCGAGCCCTGTCGTACCCCCCTCTGCTTACCACCTTTCACTGTGAAAACTGCCCATTTATATTCACTCTCTGTTTTCTGTTAATTAACCAGTTTTTAATCCATGAGAGAACTTGTCCTCTTATTCCAAGACTGCTGAGTTTACTTAGGAGCCTTTTTTTTAAGCACCCCGTAGGGGATTTTTTTAATTTGCATTTTCTAAAAACGACAAACTATAAAACTACAACGAAAAACAGGGCGGGGAACTACATACTATAGGCGAAAGTAAAGAAAACCCACTAAAAACCCAAGAGATGGTGATCATACAAACTGCTTAACAATTTTAGCATACAACACATAATTCAATTCAATTTCATTGAATGTGGTCATCTAACAATCATTTTATGCTAATAATTTGATTTTAAACACCTGACTTCTAAATAAGAGCAATATAAGACTCATAACAATACATTTTAAGAGCATTCAGAGTATGATAACATCTTATTTTTTATATTTTGGCTTTCTCAAACGATAGCTTGTCTTCGGGGCAGCTGCCCCTAATTTAGAGTCTGAATCCTCGTCTGATGTTGCTGCTTCTCCTTCTTCTTTGCTGCCTTTGGTGCTGCCTTCTTTCTCTGCTTCAACCTCTCCTGATGGATGACTATGTAGATGCAGAAATTCTCGTGCCTTTTCAACAGAGTCAGTTTTTTCTTTCCCATCCATAAATTTAAAGATTGTACCTTCGGGTACCAACCATCTGTAGGGGATGTTTTTCTTTTATAAGAATGTCACCAAGTCTCTGTACTTCCTCCTCTTTCTTCTTATTTCAAATGGAATGTCCTTTAATACTTTTATTTCTTTGTGTTTGATCTTCAAGGTAGATCCTTTTGTCACTTTAAGAATTTGATCTCTCACTTGTCGTCTAGAGAATCTTATCATCACTTCCCCAGGTAGATTATTCTTCCTTGTAAATTCTGGATATGATGTATAGATCATATCTATTTCGCTTTGTAAAATGTCCGTTTTAATATCTGCCATGGGTCCTAATGCATCACACATAGTCTGTTTCAGGTTCTCAGATTTTTCTTCAGGAACCCCTTGAAATCTTAAGACATAGCTTGCTCTCTCCATTTGTAGCTATAAAAGTTGAGACTCCTCCATCAGTCTCTTTTTTTCCATCACTTGCAGTTGTTTTTGGAGCTTTTTAGTGTTGGTATCTATTTCTTTTACTTCTTGTTCAGTTTTATCTGTTGGGTTTTTTTTGGCTATTTCAGTCAATTGCAATTGCTGTGTGTCGAATTTGCTGTGCAAAGCTGTTACTTGTTCCAGCAGGGGTAGCAATGCTTCCGTCAGCATCTTTTGTAGCTTCGTAGTCGTGTCCTGTCTAGGGGCAGGACTCACTGGGCCAGCAGTTCCGGCAAGAAGTTTTGGTTTAACTTGTCTTTCTCGTCCTTTCTCGTGGGCGCCATGTTTGAGATTGTTTACAATTTCTCAAAGTTATCACAGACTCTGATTTTCCCGACACAGCTTAGTAAGTTCTTAACTGCTTTTATTTTCAGTCTCTCTTGCTTTGATGTTCCACCCACCCTTTTTTCTTAAAATGCAAAGTTTGCTTAGTTTCTTTTCTTAATGGGGGAGAGTGTCCCCCCCCTCGCTTTTAAAAGGTGAGTTTCCGCTTAGTTTTTGGTGCTTCTTGCTTAAACTCCAACTCACATTTCAACGCTGGATCCGCTTTACTTTGCAAATCGCTCAGCCACCAAACGCTTGCTCTGGTGTGCGCTTCTACTTCCCATTCAGGACGCTCCGCAGCAGGACCTTCGGGGCATTGGAAAAGCCCCCCTTCGCCGGCAGGATAGCCGGAGGAAGGGCTTTCTTGCGCCCCATGGCTAGGAACCTCCTACAGAGGTTCCAGGGATGGCATGAACACTTGCGTCCCCTCCTTACCGCGGGCTCTGGCAGTCCTCTCCCAGAGGATCGGGAGAGGCGAACGCCAAAACCGGAAACCGCCTACTTAGAAGCCTTTGATGAGGAACTTTATCAAAAGCTTTCTGGAAGTTTAGGTAAACAACATCTAGGGAGTCCCCCTTATCCACATGTTTGTTCATCCCCTCAAAGAACTTTAAAAGGTTAGTTAGACAAGATCTTGCGTTAGACAATTCATGCCGATTCTTCTTCAGTAGCTTTTGTTCACCAAGGGTGCCTACTAATTCTATCTTTAATAACAAATTCCTCCAATTTACCCGTTATTGACGTTAGACTGACCTGCTTGTAACTTCCTGGATCTCCTCTGGAACCATTTTTAAAGATGGAGGTTACATTAGCTACCTTTCAATCCTCATGAATGGAGGCAGATTTTAGTGATAGATTGCATATTTTTGTCAGGAGATCCACAAGGTCACATTTGAGGTTCTTTTAGAACTCTTGGATTTATACCATCTGGGCCTTGTGATTTGTCAGTTTTTAATTTGTCCATCAGTTGTAGGACTTCCTCTCTCATTACAGTTGCATCTCACCTTATCTCTATGGTGAGGATTGTATAATCCTGTTTTATCCACCCAGCCCCCCTTTAAGATAGGTTAGGCTTGAGGTTCATAGGCTGAGTAGAGATTTGAACCACAGTCTCTCTGATTCAACTCCAACCGTTGTATCGACTAATCTCCACTGGCTCAGGGACAGATTAGCACAAGTACTCTGTCGCCTGGCAAGACAGAATGCTAATTCACTAACATTTTTATTCCTGTTTGTCTAAAACACCATGGCAGAACTAAGCGACTAAGTCTTTGGCAAACCTGTGAGGCAGGGCAGAGAGAACACCTAACCGCATTTTTCTCCTGCCCTTCATCCAGGGCTCACAAGTGCATCCATGTTTCTGCCCTCCCCATTTTATCCTGACAACAGCTCTGTGAGGTAGCTTAGACTGAGAGAGAGTGGGAGCTTCATGGCAGTACTGGGATTTGAACCTGAGGCACCTTGGTTTTTGTCCAACACTAATCTTCACACCACACTAATAGTCTAGCACGTTCTAATCCTGCTTTCATTTCCACACACACGTATGTAATGAAATGCTGAGGTCTCACAGAACTAATCAGTCTGCTAAATGAGAAATATCGTTTCTCCTTCCATTTAGCCAAAGTGAATCAATTTAGAATATATTTGTCTGATAATTGCCCTGCATTAGTAGAGCTAATTCTCCCTCAGCTGAAGCAATAGCTAAAGCCTCCAGAAGAACTACGTGACTGTGCCCTGCTGTTCTTGTCCTCAAAGTCTGTTGAAAATAAAAGTGTCTTTTTGGTTTTGTTTGTTGTTGAGAAGCAGAATTGAAAGCAGCTGTTGGATTTGCAGTGGTGGGGTGGGGCCAGATACTTCCAGGAGAAAAGGGCAGTTATTGCCAAGGATTATGGGATGGCTACTTTGTTATATCAAAGGTGGAAGGAGATCTCACGAGTCTGCCAAACTTTAAAAAGGATTAGCTCACCAGGTCATCGCTACTGTTAGTCATTTTATGAGGCTTTTCTTATGCTCTGAAGTTACAGTACAAAAAGAGATGGTCTTGTGGGAAGGGAGATTGAGAGAAACTCTAGCAACAGTAGGCCAGTTCCTTGTACTGCCGCTGATTTTTCTGTCTCCCTTTCGGTGTACATGGAGCACACAGGGGTAAATAGTATATTAGGACGAGAGTCTTAGAGTTGGTTCAGATAAGAACACACAAAGAGCAAGCTTGCTGACGACCAGTCAGAATGTTTGGTGGCCGAGTCCAGAGGAGCTAAATGAAAAATGCTTAACTCCAAAGCACTTTGGAATCTGTGGTGAAGTGGTGTGCAGTTTTACATACCTTTTGTACCTTGGCTCACCCCTAAATAGCACTGCACATACAGTGTTGCACACACATCTGCAGGTAGTTTCCGAGTCAGGTAGTTCCATGTGATGGGTTGGACCTTTTGTTCACTTAAGAGCAGCACGTCCCTCCAGTACAAGGTGTGTTCTGCTGCCGAAGAGTCTCTTGTGTCAGAATGAGGCTGCTTGCACCGCACAAGGGCATCACAGCTGCATGGAGAGGCAGGATGTAACCCCCTCTGCTTGCAGTGCTTTTGGGAACATGTTATTTCTGCGACTGATGGTATTAATAACCTGACTATCCAGATAATAAGGAGGGGAGAACACATTATGACCCTATGCATCCTGTAAGATTGAATTGTGTTTTAAGTGGCTAACTGTGTTATTGCACTTTGGGTGCCTACATTGTTTTAATGTGCTATATTTTATTGCACTGTTGTGCCTGTGTAAGCCGCCCTGAGCCCGCATGCGGGGAGGGCGGGGTATAAATGAAATAAATGAAATAAATAAATAAATAAATAAATAAATAAATAAATATTACCAGAAGTATTTGGTTACATATCTGTATCCAGAGAAACAATGGAGAAACCAGCTCTGCCGCTTATGTGTACTTGCACCAGTTTTGCATGGAGGGTGTTTTAGGGTTGCCAGACGCCCTGAAGAAGAAGAAAGTCCTATCCCTTTAACAAGGGCATATTGGGAAGTTATTTCCCAGGTAAAATTATTTACCTCAGTGCCATGAAAAGCTTCAGTTGCTTATTTCTGCACATTGAACCTCTATTAAAGGTACAGGATATTTTCTCCAGGCCAGCTGGGAACGGCCAAGGACTGGAACCTGTAGAAGTTACTGTAGCATGGAGCTGTAGTAAATCTCCTGCATTTTTTCCCAACAAGAGTGCTCTCAAAGCAATTAACTGTTTAAAAAGAACATTAATAAAAGCCGAAGAGAGGAGAGCTTCATTCTGGCATGAATGAAGGGTACTTGACGAAGTACACTCGATGGCCTCGTCAGTGACAGCTTCTATAACTTGTGTGTTTATGTGTGCATGTAAAAAACCTCCATGAAGACAGAGAATCCTTTGAGTTCCCATCCACCTTCCTGGTACTTCTCCAACTCCTGCAGCTCTTCCCTGTCTCTTGAGGCTGCCATTGACACTGTGCTGCAAGTTTTGAACATGACTGTAATTTGGCCAGGTAGACTTGTGCGCTTCCCAGACAGAATCTGGACCCAAAACATTTACCTGTAACACAGATAGCTGCATGAAACACTGTTTTTATGGCTCTGTAACATCAATATCCTGTCTCTCAGTACTACATTGGTAGGAGATTGGATGTTAAGGCGATATGGTCTATGCAAATTTCTAAAACCAATCTGTGAATATCAGTGCTAGGAGGCAACATCAGGGGAAGGCCTTGGCCTCTGTGCCCTGTTTGTTGGCCTTCACGGCAACTGGTTGGTCACTGTGTGAAACAGGATGCTGCTGTAGATGGATCATTGGTCTGATCCAGTAGGGCTCTTATGTTTTTGTTTTTTTTAATGTAAATCACTATCTCAGAGGCCACACATACACATAGCCATCATCATGCTCAGGAAATATCTGACTGGATGCTGGCATCCCCATTTCTCTTGAGAGCTCTGGACAACAGAAGAATTGTAATTGTCATCACCCAAGCTTTAAGAATCTGTTCTATAATTCTGCTTTGCAGGTGTTGGTGGCAATTTGGTCGCTATCCAGGCCAGCCGCATTTCTACATTTCTTCACTTCTGGAGCATGCCTGGTGTCTTGCCGTACAAGATGAGACAGCACTGGCCCAATCCATGTACCACCTTCTTCACTTCAGGTACAAAACTAGCTTTTAAGTCCTTTCCATCCACCCTCCAAACGGGAGACTGAACTTCCCATTGGATTCTATTTGTTAGAATCAATGACAAGGGAAGTTTGGGGATGTTCCACTATTAGGCTATCCTGTACTCATTGAAAAGAACTGTAGCACCAGAGCATTTTTCATTAGTGCTTTGAAAAAACAGCAACATTTTGAATCCATGAGGGAAAACGGTTCTCCTAACTTGTGCATCTGGAGCCAAACATTCTACAGCTGTTCCTGACTTAGAAACTCAAGTCACTGCCAAACAGCTGAAACATATTTTGAGCACAGGAGTAGAGGTGGGGTGCTTATCCCTTACTGACCAACTATATGCCACTGACCCCACCCCCGCCCCAACACACCGTCATTAAGCCCCAGCAGAGAGTCTGGGTATGTGTTTATCACATGGGGAGGGGGAGAAACAGCTGAGACGCATGCACTACAGGAATTAAACAGTGGGGGGAGGGTTAAGAATCCCCTTTCTCTTCTGCTAGAAATAGGCTCTCTGTTATGACACTGAACTTGTGGTATAGTCTCACAACTGATCCATTAAACCACACAGTTACAAATCAAGTGTCCTTCTATCGGCTTTTGTGTTGTAAAAGTGAAAGTGCAAGTCTTACTTTTCCCCCTTTTTGCTTGAAAGCTGATACCCCGAGAGCAGCCACTGATAAGAGTATGTTAGCTAACAAAAACTGCATGAAGCTAGTGGAAAGCCTAGCTAGTGCAGCAGTGGTGAATTCAGCTCGGGAAATTACAGACCACCGTGTATAAGACAGAGTAAGGAGGGAACACAATGCATCTGTAAATGTACAAACTCATGACTGAGCTAGATGTTTGCAAAATACTAGGTATGATTTTAAATTCCAGTTAAATCTGCTTTCGCAATTCAATCAGGATCCTGCCACAACTGTTTTATGGGACCTGTGATCATTAATCTAAACAAGTTCATATTTTAAACCCTTAGGAATGTTAGAGAAGTCGCAGGAGTGCATTTGTTATGATTGCGGTAAATGCTCTCCTATGGTACTTAGAAAATACAATTGACCTCTCCTTCCCCTCTCCCATTATATCAAGTGTATTAATGTGATACAGAGAAAATCTCCCAATCCTTGCGCTGGTCAGCCATGGAGGAACAACTTACCAAGTGACGATGGACATTGTGGGAAGTCACATAAAAGAGCATTCACACGGAAGCATCACGTTGTATTGCAGTGATGGATCCTTTTTGAAGTATTTCATGATGTCTTTAGAGATCAGTTGGCAGCTATCTGAGCCGCACACATCGTTGAGCACATAATCACTCCAATATGTATAACACTGTTACAGGAAAAGTCTTAACTTATTCCGAGTATAGCTGTTACTTAAATTGATATTTATCCTCTGCAGGGGTCAATTCCAAGTCAGCTCGTGTGCTAATCCTGTTGGTGATCCCAGGGCACCTGGTGTTCCTGTACACCATTCATGTCCTACAGGGAGGCCACATCTCTCTTACCTTGAGTTTCGTGTCGTTTTACCTAGTAGCTGCTCTCCTGCAGGTAACTAAGAACAATACTTTGGAATGAAATTGGGATCTTCTTCAGTGTGTTCCGAAATAGGTCAGCCCACTGAGCTTTGGATGTGTTGATGTCACGCCAAATGCATTTGCTTAAGAAAGGCGTGCAGGTAAATTCTGTGTGTGGTGCAGGAGGGCAAGCTGAGGCAGCAACGAGGGAGCCAGCAGCCCGATGAGCCCCTTGCAGATAGGCAAGCAAAGGCTACAGTGGTGAGAGAGCCGCAGCCTGATGAGCCCGGGGCAGGTGAGCTGAGACTGCACTGATCTCCGCTGGCCAAAAGAGCTGATTTTATAGTGTGTGGTCCCCCCACACACATACTTTCTGCAAACAAAATCGCTCAGTAATAATGAATGGAGCATTAAAACCCCAAAATTCTTTACTGATGAACAAAACAGGAATAGTGTAAAGTTGCTTTGAAGAACCTCAACAATAACCTTCCAAAGCAATATTCTCTTAGCCCTGCAATCAGCCATAATCATAGCTATGCTGAATTCTTTAGCTACTGTTCATAATTCAAAAAAGGAAGGAAGGGCAGCACAACCAGTCAAAGCAACCAGTCTAACATGAGAAAGCAGCTAACCAATCAAAAGCACAGACAGGTAGACAAGGTACAGAGGAAGGAGGGCTGGTGGGCTTTGGGGGCAGTAACTGCGTAAGCCATTGGAGATTAGTGTAGGCATTTAATCGCATCATCACAAGTGCAAAACCCCGCCCCGAAAACACTGAAAACGGAACAGTCTGAAAATGAAAGTACAACACAAACATGAGGAGGTTCCACATAAAAACAGGCGGTGTGGAGCAATCACGCTATCATCAGAGGTGCCGTGAAGGTGGGGGAAATCCAGATCAGGGCTGCAGTCTGGAAGCTGCCCTTTTGATAGATCAATATTCTGCAGTAGCAGGTGTCCAAACTGAGTTTTTTGTGGGGTGGGGTGGGGTGGAGTCTTACAATATAATGGTATGCTTAGGTATGAAGTTTCCTTTTCTCGTTTTAATTTGCTTACTGCTTATGGACAACTCCCAGCTGATCAGACAAAGGGAGATTAGTCACAAAGCAGGAGGGGAGGGGAGGGTTGTCTATCCCATTCAATCACTTACAAACACAGTTCTTGATTATCTGGGGAACCAGGAACTGCCGAAATGGCTGGAAGGATGTGTGGGGTAAGACAGGATCTCAGCTACTAGAATCCTGAATTTCAGACCGGGGGGGGGGGCGCAGGGACTTTACTATAGCTGGGGAACAGGGGCATGGATGTTGAGACGGGATAGTAGGTGAATGAGAGAGTTCGCCTCCCCCTGTCGTTTTAATAGGGGTCCTAGTAAGCCTATACAGATTTGTTTGTATTTTTAGGGGGGGGGGCTGAGATGATTCAATGTGCAGCCTCAGTTCTAGAAAAGGTGACCCTCTGTTGCCCTGAGAACATCACCTCACATTAGCCCACTTTGTCAGTACAGCGTGTGCAAAGGCAGGGGGTGGGGAGCACGCTGCCGCCTCCGGTGACGAAAGTGTTGAGGTAGCAGAAATGCTGTCCTTCCCCAGATCCAGCGTGCAAAGGGAAGTCTAGTTCGACAACCTAGAAACAACGGAGAAGAAGAAGAGGAAATCTACCAGTCTGGAAGCAACTGCTGAAAGCGTTTCAGGTGGGAGTGGGGTAGCGATAGAGATAATCTAGAGCAAGCATTTAGTGTGAAAATGGCTAAGGTCCTCCTGTTGTCCGTGGTTAGGAAGTCCAGTGCTGCAGCTGACCTGGCTCAGAGGAAGGCATTTCTAGCAAAAGATAGCACGGCTGATGTGCGTTGCTAGTAGCACCTGGATGACTGATGTCTCTGTTGTTTTTGGTTGAAGGTGGGAATCCTGCTCTACATGGCTGACCTGATCGTGCGGCTGATGTGGCGAAAGGGACTAGATCCTGATAACTTCTCCATCCCCTACCTCACTGCCCTGGGAGACCTCCTAGGCACTGGATTGCTAGCACTTTGCTTCCTCTTGGTTTGGGTGATCAGTGCGCCACAGATGCCCCTGGGAAACTAAAGAGGACTTCTATGATATTGCCCTGCCCACCACTGTGACAAGTGAGACTTTCACTATGGTGCTTTTAACATGGTCCAACAGGGTATTGAGGATATTGGATATCCATCCCCTTTGACCTCAGCATTGCATAGCTGTGTTGTATGAAAAATACCAATGAAGTGATACCAATGAAGTAGCATCTATGTGGACTGTGACCATGTCTAATAATGAAAAGTTTGTGAAGCTCTGCTTAAGCCGGCACCATCTGGTTAAGCAGCATTACTGTAGGGGCGTGGTCAGATAGGCCTTGGTCTGAAATAGACATTAATGGGAGGCCATCCACTGCTCTCAGTGTGTCTTAGGTAATATCCTAGATGAGGATGTTACAAATTGGGCAGATCCTTGGAGGACCAGTAAATGGCTTGCTTGAATCTATTTTCATCCCCGTATAAGGTGTCCACTAGCTGTAGTACATCAGGTGGTATTTGCAGATCAAACATTTCTGACTCAGTTCATCTTTAAAGTCAGTGGATCCTGCTAACATGAGACTTGCCATGTTCACTTTGTAAACAGAAATGTGCAGCTGTTTCTGCTACTTTCTGTACATGGCATGTTTCCATTCTCCAGTGAGCAATACAAAAGACAGACTGTATCCTCCTTCATACTTCTTCAGGAGAACCCCTAGAATTCATGCTGCACCTCTCTGGTGTTTCCTTGTAGATGGCCAAAAAACGCCTCACTGCCTTCTGTTACCACATGTGCTCCTTTTCATGTGTATTCTTAGACATGTGTGTGGACTCTCTAACTTGGGTTCAGGACACTCGCCCAGAATCACAACCAATTTGGAGGAATTAAGCTCAGTGTCAGGGGAAACTTCTTCCCATTTCCACAGCCTGACTAGTTTGGAAAACTGACAGACTTGCCAGTTGGGGGAGCTAAACATGTGATTTAGGGATTGTCACCTGGATAGTGTGCATACAAGCTCCAAGGTGCCTCTGATAGACTACCAGTAACCATGAAATAATCAGATCTTTTCCAATCCAAGGTTTAGAGTTTATTGAGGTGAATATAGGGGTACAGGAATTGAAAAGCTTAAGAACATAGAAAGTGTTGTGTTCAGAAGGATATACATATGAAGAGTTACATGAGAGGAAACAGAACAAAGTTTGGGTCCAGTGGCACATTTAAGACCAACAAAGTTTTATTCAAGATTAGGGTTGCCAGATGCCCCCAGTCCAACCAGGGGAACCCCCGATATTCAGGGCTCCAATCCACAGCTGGCCAGTGAGGGATGCCCACCCCATAAGAGGCCTGTTGCACGATGATGTCACACAGAAGTGACGTGATCATGCCAGGGACATCACCCGTCAACACCAGTGTTCCCTCTAAGCTGAGTTGGTATGAGTTAGCTGACAGTTTTTTAGCCATTGGCTCACACATTTTTGTCTTAGCTCAGGAAGGATGGCTCCAGAGCAAACTAAGTTATACAGTAGCCAAATCGCTCGCTCACAACTTTAATGCCAGTAGCTCACAAAGTGGGATTTTTGCTCACTAGACTCCACAGCTTAGAGGGCGCATTGGTCAACACTCTAGCATTTTGGCCCAAAACTCTATGGTACCTTGTTCCTGGTAACCATAGAGTTTTGGCCAAAATGCTAGAGAGTCGATGCACAACATCCCCAGCATGATGACATCACTCCCAGATGGCTTCCTCCCCACCCCCCACCGCTAGGACAATTGGACCTGGCTACCCTATTCAAGGTATAAGCTTTCGTGTTCATGCACAGTTCTTCAGATACAATGAGAAGAAACAGAAAGAGAGCAAAACCTCCAGCTGAGAGGGGATTATGTGCTAGAAAATTACCACGGGAAGGAGAGAGGGGAGACAGAAAGAGGAGTGGAAAGGAGAGTTTTAAGATAAAAGGAATGAGCAAAGAAGGACTTTACCTGTCCTCAGTCTGCTGAGTTGGGTAGAGTACATTGTCCATTTATAATACAGAGATTCAGTGTTGGAGACCTTTAGGCAGAGCTTCCAAAGATTTCAAGGAAATAATTGAAAGGTTAAGGCAAACTGGAACATGTCCAGAGGAGGGAAACGAAGATCGTCAGGGGTCTGGAGACCAAGTCCTCTGAGGAAAGGTTGAAGGAGCTGGGTATGTTTAGACTGGTGAGGAGATGACTGAGAGGTGATACGATAGCCATCTTCAAGTACTTGAAGGGCTGTCTACTAGAGGATAGTGTGGAGTTGTTTTCTGTTACCCCAGAAGGTTGGACCAGAACCAACGGGTTGAAATTAAATCAGAAGCGATTTTGGCTAAACATTAGGAAGAACTTCCTGACAGAGCAGTTCCTCAGTGGAACAGGCTTCCTCGGGAATTGGTGGGCTCTTCTTCTTTGGAGGTTTTCAAACAGAGGCTGGATGGCCATCTGACAGCAATGCTGATTCTGTGAACTTAGGCAGATCATGAGAGGGAGGGCAAGAAGGGTTGCCTCAGTGCTTAGTTCTTGTGGCCCTTTTTTACACGCCCAGGGAAATGCTGATGGCCACTTTGGGGTCAGGAAGCAGTCCTGGAGGTTTTTTGTCATCTTCTGGGGGTGGAACAGTAGTCACTGAGGGTGTGGAGGGGGAGGTATTTGTGAATTTCCTGCATAGGGCAGGGGGTTAGACTAGATGACCGTGGAGGTTATACCAAAAGGTTTCCTCAGGAGGGTTCTGGCCGTAAACAAAGCCTTTTTCTCACCCACACACAGCTACAGGTGTTCTCTACTTTACCAAGGCCACTTTACAATTTGGGGTTAGTATTCCACCACCTTATGTGATGCCCCTTTTACTTAGAGTCCCTACCAGCCTACACAACTTCAGTTCCACGGGTTCAGGGTCACAGGTAGGTCAGGCAGTCACAATTTGCCACCTGTCTTGCCTCTTTTAAAATATGTAGACTGCTCTGAACCATCCATACACAAGGTTCCCTCTCTCCCATTCACAGAGATACCATCAGACAGGATAACCCAGTCCCCTTTAATAATCACCCCTCACTCAGTCACTGCTGCTTTCACACACTACCACGCTTCATTCATTCATTCATATATATATATATACACACACACACATACACATACATACATACACACACACACACACACAAGCTGAGATCTTAATGTGTGTGTCTGTGTGCTTCTTTCCCTGAGACCATGCACATCCAGCCCACAGGATTAAAAAAACAAACAAGGAGTTAGCTTTTATTTATGGTTTGTACATAACATTGGAGTGAATCAGGTAGAAATTACAAAGCTACTTTTCAGCTGAACGTTTGAACTATTTTCTTATTCAGGCATAGGAGTGTGGATTTGGGTCTACCCAAACCAAAAATATACCCAAAAACACCTTATTGGTATTTTGGGGGTATATTTCAGCATCCCAAATGTACCCAGAATTTTTTGAGAGAACTGGAAAACATTCCTGAAAATATCCCAGAGGTATTTGGGAATTACCTGCAAACCGAAACAACAGTTGAGGGGCTGGAGCAGATTGCTCCTGCTGCTCAGCTGTTTTGGGGTTTTCTTCTGCAGTCCCTTTAAATGGGGGGGTATTTAAAGAGACTGCAGAAGACAGCCTGCAAAACTGCAGGGGGGGCACTCTCTTTGCTGGCTCAGCTGGGGCTGTTCTGGGCTGTTCAACTGAACTGCGGAAGACAGCCCCAGCTGAGCCTGCGAGAAGAGTTCTCCCTGAAGGAACTGTTGCTTTGCAGGCTTTGTTGGGCAGTCCAGTTTAAACGGGGCTGCCCAGCAGAGCTTGTGGGAAGAGTTCTCCCTGCAAAATCCACTGCTTTGCAACCGGGCTGCCCAACAGAGCCCCAGAACTCTCTCTGCAGGATCAGCTGCTTTGCAAGCTCTTTTGGGCAGTCTGGTTTAAAGAACTTTCCCCACAGGATTTGCTGCTTTGCGGGCTCTGTTGGGCAGTTTGATTTAAACGAGGGTTCCCAGCTGAGCCCATAGGGAGAGTTCTCCCTGCAGGATCATCTGCTTTGCATGCTCCTTTGGACAGTCCGGTTTAAAGGGACCGCCCGAAAGAGCCCCAGCTGAGCCGCTTCTCAGCCACCTCTGTTTTTTGTGGCTTTGCCATTGCTTTTTTTCCTCTCTATTTTTTGGTTCAGGCGTATTGAACCCCCCCACCCAAAAAAAAAATTGGGATTTCTGAAAAATCATGGATTCTAATATTTTACCAGTGTTGGGATCCAGGGTTTTCTTGGAAAATCCAAAAAAATAAAAATAAAATTCAGATCCAATATACCCAAACCGCAAAATACCAAGAGGAAAAAATGCACCCCCTTTTTCTGGTCAGCAGTAACGTGATGTTCTGTCACATGCTTCACTCAGCCAGTCTCCCTCTCCCTCAACTGAACTAATGGCTGCTTTCAAATCTCCCCTTCACCAACATTTTGTCACCTCCCACGGGTTGCTGAGGCAGAACCTAACCTGTCCACTGCATCTTGAATTTTTTGTTTAAATCTTGATTTCTCAAATATCCAAGTTTGCATTTGATGCAGAGCAACCTGCAACATGACTGATGAAAAGGACACCGGACGGCAAGTGTTTTGTGATTTTTGTTTCTCCACATTGTGTCCTGTCCAAAATAGAACTGACTGTGTGTGCACCCCAGGGAGGTATGGAACCCACCTCTGTGTTGAGCACCTGCATGTTTCCTTGAATGGTGGTGAAAGACCAAAGCTCAATTAAAGATGGGTACTGAGAAGTAGAAGTACCAGCATTTTTTTTAAAAAAAGGCTGTTGAGCTTTCTAGCATCCTCCCCCTGACCTATTCTCCATGTCAAGGTCACACTTGAAGTCATTAACAGATTATACACACATTTTTGCTCGAAACACCTGTAGATTATGACCCAACTATGAACTCGAATGCTTCCTTGAGAACTCCAGCTATCAGTTTCATGCAGCATATTCCATTTTGCATCAAAGGTGACTGGAAGGCTCACCTAGAGAAGGGGTTCAGTGTCCTAAAGAGCTCTGTGCTGGGAAAAGCAAACCTGCCTACACTCAGCCTTCTGTGCCCACCTTTGGTATTCCTAAACCACCCACCTTAACACAGAGCTCTTCGATCCCAATGCACTTACGCTTCTTCAGGGAGCCTCTTAAGATGAAATCCAGGGAGACCCGAAGGTAGAGAGAGACTGTTGCCCACAGAGACTGTGCCTAGTTTGACAGAATTTTTAGTCTCTTTTTTGTTTTATGGTTTTCAAGATGATGGTAGTTTCATGGTTTATAAAAACACACACCACAAAATAAAATGTTAAAAAATTACTGCTTTGAGAGTTTTCTTTTGTGTCTCTGACATAAGTTTTCAGATAATTTATACTTAACAACTAGGATTCTTTGGGAAGTGCACTAATATAACTTTTGCTTCCCCTTAATGAAATGGGATTATAATAGTAGAAAAGAGTAAGAGTCCAGTAGCACCTTAAAGACTAACAAAATTTGTGGTATGGTATGAGCTTTTGTGAGTCACTGCTCACTTCTTCAGATACAGCTACATCTAAAGAAGTGAGCGGTGGCTCACGAAAGCTCATACCCTGCCACAAATTTTGTTAGTCTTTAAGGTGCTACTGGACTCTTACTCTTTTCTACTGCTACAGACAGACAAACACAGCTACCTATCTTGATCTATCTCCATGGAAGGGATTATAATAATAAGTACCAATCAAATTTGGGCAGATTATTAGTTTGAGATGAGGAAACCATTCTTTCCAAAAGTTGTGTTGGTTTGCCACTTATGTTTTGAACCCTGGCTCTATTTGGGGGGGGGGGACCATAATGGCAGTTGTCAGAGCCAAAAATCATGGGTGATAGCTAAGGAGAGCCTAGGACTGGGAGTCCGGGTCAAGGGCTGTCCAAGGTCAAAAGTGATAAAATCAGAAAGTGAAGCTAAATTGAACTATAAGCCAGGAACTGTGGTCACACGGAGGTGCACATATCAAGAGCAGGGCTTTTTTTGTAGAAAAAGCCCAGGAGGAACTCATTAACATAATAGGCCACACCCAAAAGCATAAACTCATTAGCATATTATGCCACACCCCTGACAACACAACTCATTATCATATTAGGCCACACCCTCACGTTGCCAGAAGTGTGGTCATCCAGCCACACCCACCTTTTGCTTCTTATTCTGTTTACCTTGTTTGTTGTCAAAACCCAGGGCTTTTTTTGTAGCAGGAACTCCTTTGCATGCTAGGTCCCTAATGTAGCCAATCCTAATGAGTTTCTGCTGTTGGGTGTGTCTTATTATGCTAATGAGTTCCTGCTGGGCGTGGCCAATTCAGCGTTCCTGCCCAAAAATAGCCCTGATCAAGAGTATTTGAAGAATAGAAGC